TAAAATTATTATTGTTTTTTTAACTTCACCCTAATCAAATGCAAATATTTAATAAAATTTACTTCTTGACACCTTATATAAAGGTTTCGTTCGTAATCTTTATTAAAAAATTACCATACCGTCGGTGTTTAGTAGAATGGGTTAACGTTTGTTTTAAAATATTTACGTCCTATTTTAAAACTAAATATTGGTTTTAATTATGCTTAAGTCGTAAAACTGAATTTAAAACGAGACGTAAATATTTTAAAACAGTGGTGAAATTTTAAAAACATACGCCCCGTGATTTTTTTTTTCGAAATGTCGCTTACAACTTTTCAACAAAACATGACGATATGTCATCAACATCGTGCGGTCGAGATTAAGGTAAAAAGTACTTATGTAGGTGTCTTGAGTTTGATACGTTTTCATATGTCATTTCTAGCATTTATAAGTAGATACATTAAGTATTTAATGTGCAACAGTAATCCTTACAATCTAAGTGCCGGTCATCATAAAGAAGGCAAGTGTAGTTTTACAAGCACTAGTAAAGTATGCAACCAGCTTTCAATGAGTTTACTAAAAGCACGAGTAATTTGTATGAGCCGTCGATGTGAGACGGTAATGTCGGCATTAGCGTTTATTGCAAACGACTTTAAGTCATTAGCTTTATAGATGTCGGCTCTAATAAATGATCTTTTCATTATCTTTACAGCTATTATACATTTACCTATTTACATACATTTGCGAGGTTTCCCATTGAACGTAGAGAATTGTACAACAATAAACACAGATTACCTATACAAAATCCTCTCACTCAATATTTGTACGTAAAAGCTAGTTGGTTAGTATTTGATTTTAAATGACAGCACATACTACACGTTGGTACTATTAGGAATTGAATGCAATTCCACAAAAATAGCCCCTCTGAATTTGACACCAGTAGGGCTAGCACGAAGGACGCGACTTGCGCGAGAGCAACATAAAGCGCGGGATCGCTATGCAAGAATCGCACTTTATGTCGCTCTAGCGGAAGTCGCGCCCTATTGTGCTAACCCTACAGTTGCAATAGGAAAATCTATTAAGATTATTTAAAACCCTAATTACAGGAAACTATAGTTTGTGTGCATCGATTAATTATCGTCAACCTATTATACGTCCTACTGCTGGGCACGAGTCTCCTTCTAAGGAGATAGATTAGGCAACAGTCCACCAAGTTGTTCCAAAGCTGATTAGGGGCGTCACATGTTTTCAAAGGGTTGTCAATGATGTTATCCTTCGGCGTTATCAAATCAAATCAAATAATTTATTTGCTTTAAGTACAATACTTCATACACAAGCCTTATATAACGTCATTCTTATTCTAAATCTAGGTTACAACATTTCATTATTTAAATTACAAACAATATTAAATTACAATATAAATTATATTTTGCATTAGCAAAGAATTCATTAATTGAGTAAAGTGGCCTCTTTATAAAATACTCTTTCACTTTTCTTTCAAATGTTCTAAAATCGCTATAAAGTTTTGGATCCTTACTTAAATCATTGAACACTCTGATTGCAATGTTGTTGACCCTGTTGTTAAAATCAGCAAGCCGAGAGTTATTTGCGTTAGCGAGACCTATTGCTACTAAACGTAACTTGGACATTAAAGTTATAGGTAGATCTCTCACTAGGCTACTACCTCCATCTTCATAGATAGATAAACATAATTAGGGTTGTAGACGGTATTGCTCGTGTTTAGAGTCTGAGGGGAGTGGGCGGCGGGCGCATGATGCCACGACTTCGGAGGCGGCGCTCTACGATCATGGGGCTGACTGTATTCGACGGCAAGTTGTTATCGCCGCCCGACGCATCCTGCGCGCAATAAAATAACCACGTAAATTGTTGCCTACAGCAAAACTGACGTAGTGTTGTGCTCGATTACCTAAATGAATAATAAAGTGATTCTTCAGTCACTTTCTGGAATTTTTATAACTGCCATAGTGGAAATTTACACGCTACAGTGATGTGACAGTGCTATCTAAGAACAGAAAAATGAATTATTGATGATAACATGTGTTCTGTTATATTGAAGATTTTGCACCGGACTTATGTTGTGGATGCTAATTCTAGTGAATTTTGTGGAATACATTTATGCTAACTCAGACGATAGCTCGAACAGTCACGATGCGGAAAAAGAACCACAGTGCTGCACAGGGGACGGAAATCCCGGGAAAAAGGCGGGTAAGAATGTTTCACGTACATACTTTATAGGCGTTATATTTTGCAAAAGTATATTTTTGTTTATAGGAAATGAAACTATTTTTCCGGATTTAAATCGCGTATATTTGTTTTTTCAAACAAACCGACGTTTCGGGCCCTTTACAGGTCCCATGATCACGGTTGACTGAGGTGGTACAGTCTTCAACCAGTTATGTCTAATATTAATGCAAGCCACCCTATTTTTTCACTATAGTTACAATAGTTATTAATTAAATACCTTATTTTTAATTTTACAAGGAAACATTCCAATTTACGCTACATTAAGTTTTACAAATTATTTTATTGAATGAATTTTTATTAAGTTTAATTTATTATTATTATTAATTATTACTATGTGTAACAATCGCGAAAACCTAAGAACTCCATTATATTTATGTTTCTAAATGAAGTTCATGTTATTTAGTTTGTATTTAATAGTGTTCTAATTGTCTATTATATAATGTAACACCTATACTGAGATATAAAACGTACTATTATGTAAAGACAATAAATATAAGTACGTCCTTAATTGTGTCTTTTAATATGTAGAGCGGCGGGATGTAACTTCTGTGTTATCACTTTTGGTTATATAATGTAATATAATTTAAAATCACTTATAAAGTTACTATATTTTTCTAAGAATTTGCCAACACATATTACTCAAAACAATAATAATAAATTTATCACGTTTAAAAGTTTCCCTTCTATGCAAATGGGTTGAAATCGACAATATTGCCCTATACAAACTATTATTACACATCATTTAAGTACATATTGAATAAAGTGCTGTGATTATAATAAAGATTACTCCACGACAGATTTATATAACTACGAGTAGGTAGGTACATAACATACTCCAATTCATATTAAATTTAAAATAATTTATATGGATTAAGTTTTATTTTAAAGATAATTTGCAGAATCGACAAAAACTATCGATTTTTGTCTTAAATTTCTTTGCGAACAAATTTTATAAATTTTTGTTCACTCCATTTTCTATCTATCTAATAGTAGCAGTAGATCTCCTTGTGAAAGAGTTCGTCCAGAAAAGTACAGCCATCTTACCTATTTCTACTGCTAAGCAGTATAAATTCTAGGTTTGACATTCTTAAATTGTTTTGTTCCAAATAAACGCAATATCATTACAATAAAAAGTCAATAAAATATCTACATAAACTGTCGCCTTTGTAATGCGATTCGAGTGCAACGGTTTTATATGACGACACACGACAATAACAATCTTATTTTATTTAACACATTTATACAATTGCCTCAAAAGACATCGACGACGATCTTGTAATCTTCCTACATTTTGACTTTATAAGCGCATACACAATGCCGCAATTGAAACCAAAATTCAACGACATGCAATTTTGTTTTATGGCTATATACAAAATTAATAAAATATTATCCATTTTAGATGATTTTTTTTAAATTAAATTTGACCAACTTCTGCCGTCTCAATTTGTTTCTTCCGACACAATGAAGTCATCTTTATAAGAAACAGAGTCTTAGCATTAAAAAAATTAGTCAATTTTATTCATTTTGTATGAAAAAATATTTTATGAAATTTGACCAACTTCTGCAGTTCCCTTTTTTTTCGTCCCGTTCAATAAAATGATCCCTTCATGAAAGTGATTCGATCGGCACTAAAAAAATTTTAATCAATTTTATTCAGTTTTATGGATAACTCACGCTTGACCAAAAAAAAGTTACCATGCCAAAATTGTTTTCAAAAAAAAAGATTTTTAAGACACTTTCCTTGTATCTTCTATGGTTTCGGATTTCCCCATACTGTCTCATTTAAAAAAACACACTATATACATACATATACAATATGGTACACAAGAATACGTATAAAAGATTTAGTTTTTATTAATAAGAGTATCATTTGATCGCGCAACAAGACGCTCCTTGTTTCTTTGATACGTTTCATCCTTTAAGTATCGCGTGGTACCATTTACGTACTGGCACATACGTGAGTTACTGTTGCATTTATGATGAAGATCATTCAACACAATATTTTTGTATAAATAACTCACCTATAACAAACTTTTAAATGTACATTTTAAAATCATATTGATATCATACTTATTTCAGTAGCAATAAAGCTCATTGCGAATGAGTTATATTTTGAGTTATATTATGACTGCCACCTCACATATTAATGCCGCCAAGCAGTAATGTGAACATTAATGCGTTTCGGTTTTGAAGGATAAGAATACTGATGAATCGTCGGCTAAATAGAAGAGCTCCTTGTGAAAGCGTTCCTCAAGGGAAGTACTGCCTTACCTATTTCTGTCGCCATTACCGTGTTCCAGTTTTGAAGGGTACGGGTGCTGGTAAATTACATGCACATGGGACTTGTCAACTTATGTCTCAGGGTGTCGGGCGCAGTGGCAGTGCCCCTTAGATCTTTGCGGCACTGCAACTGTCATGGACAGGCGTGAGCTTACTATCAGGTGCACGACTTGTTCGCCCCGTCACTTGATATTATAAAAAAAATCCAAAACCCCGTAACTCCGTTTTTTGGATAAAAGATCCCTTTTTGCTCGTCAATCGCAACATCGGGCAATTAAAGCTTAAAATATAATTTCTAGATCAAGGCTATAATATATAATTATACCTTTATTTTAGTTATAAATAATAGATTATCATATATAATTATTTTTTGTAATTCTGTTTTCTTTGCCTAAAAAAATTCACATTAATTGAGGCACGAGGTAGATGAAGTTAGCCGACGTTACAGGCACAAGGGACTTGTCACCTTAGGTCTTAAGCTGATGGGCCCAGTGGTAGTGATCCTCGGGTCTGTGCGATTAAAGCTTTTGAGCGGCACTGCAACTGTTATGGACAAGCATGTCGCTTACCACTGGGCGCACGACTTGTTCCTCCGGTCACTTGGTATCATAAAAAAATAGATCACTTAAGTTAAGCAAAATACCGTCATTTAAACTATGTATTGTTTGTAAACATCGTTTCCTAATTAGTTACCCAACAAATATCAAGGAAAAGAGCCCTTTTAAACAAAATTCGAGTAAGTACCTTAGTAACTGTTAGACAGTGAATGGTACCATTTAGATTAAATATATCTATAGTTTAAAAAATCTCTATGACTTCAAAACATAATTTTTCTTCACTCTCTTCCTCGTCCTCTGCCGTTCGTTCAAGACACGTACGTTTTACATAATTTCCTAATTTATACAGTGATCAATTTTAAGATATTTTATAAACTGACTATTAAGTGAGCTTTTGTATGGAACAATTATCTAGTAATAAAAGAAATGGCATCAAAGACGCGATTTAATTTCCGCCTCATGACTTCCATAGTTCCTAGCTTCAACTTATTTTAACAGTAACAACAGTTATTTGTACATTATTATCAAGAGTTGATTGAAGTATTTGAAATGTACGGTAATAGGTATTGCCTAACGGGCGACCTCTGCCCCTGAGTTACGATATGGGCGAATTTGACGAATAAACAAAGAGTTATGACGTCACCCAGTTCATTGAAGTTAACCGGCTTTTCCTTCCGTTACTTCAAATTTATTTACAACGATTAATATAAGAATAGCCACCGAGTCAAATTTATATTATAACATTGACCTAGAGATACACTATATAATTATGGTTGAACAAAGAAAAATGTCTAAAAAAATTAAATTAAAACTTGTTAAATTTAGTGGCAGTAGCGTTCTTTGTGAAAGAGTGCGTCCAGGGAAGTACTACCACCTATATCTATTTCTACCGCCAAACTAATGTGAAATTCCAGACAGGTGGGACTTTTCAAGTGACGGGCGTAGCAGCAATGCCCCTCAAATTTAAAGCTCTGTGCGGCATTGCAACTGTTATGGACAGGCGTGTTATTTACTATCAGACGCACGATTTGTTCGTCCTGTCACTTCTTATCACAAAAAATGGATAATTAAGTCTACTATATTGTCTTTATTACCACAATCTTGTTAAGTCTCAGGCACCTTGGCGGCATACATCTGTCGTGGTGCAAAGTCGAATGTAATCAATTACCCATATTTCATTGGACTTCCTGTGCCAATTGACTGATGCCAATGACCTTGATTTCACTTGACAATGTTGCATTAATCTAGACCTCTGAGTCCCCTAGTCAACTTAGTGTCCCGTTTATGTGTAGGCTAAATTGTTATAACCACAGACCACATAAATTTTCTTTCTTCCGTGGTTGTAACATACACTACCTACTCAGTTAATCTTTTCTACAAAGTTATAATTACCTCTAAAGGCCTGTCGACAAATATAAACGATCATAAATGTAATAAAAATTTGTTATATCTAAAATTTATTATACATACATTGTAAAAATAATGTTAAATGGTCAAGACGTGTAGAATTTCCCATAAAGTATGCAGTACGTCACAAAAATATATTTGAAAATAGCTATAACTTCTTTGTTAAATTAAAAACCGACCTCAAAAACTTTGCTTAAACCCGCATTCGTTGGGTTAGTTACCACGGTCGCCTCGACCTAACCTGAAACGCATTTTTTTATGATATCAAGTGACGGGATGATAAAGTCGTGTGCCTCGTGGTAAGCGACACGCCTGTCCATAGCAATTCCAGTGCCACTCAGAGCTTAAAATTGCAAATATCTGAGAGGCACTGACACTGTGCCCGTCCCACAGAGACATAAGTCGACAAGCCCCATGTGCCTGTAGCATACGTTATACGACTGCAGTAGCAGAGCTCCTCACATCTTTACGACTTAATGCTCTGAGTGACACTGCACTATACACCGGCGTGTCGCTTAACAGCAGGTGCACAACTTGTTCATCCCGGCACTTGGTATCATAAAAAACAGAAGTGTAAGTTACAATTATTATTTAAACTTATTATTGAATTTAAATTGGTGAATAATGGAATTGTACTAAATCGAAAATATTTTTACTTTAGTGAGTGTAGCTCTGTAACGAAATTTGAGTACGTAATTCAATTATTCAAAAAAGTAT